TCATTCATCTGTTACCTGGTGTGATGACATCACAGCTGTACAGGTTCATTCATCTGTTACCTGGTGTGATGACATCACAGCTGTACAGGCTCATTCATCTGTTACCTGGTGTGATGACATCACAGCTGTACAGGTTCATTCATCTGTTACCTGGTGTGATGACATCACAGCTGTACAGGCTCATTCATCTGTTACCTGGTGTGATGACATCACAGCTGTACAGGTTCATTCATCTGTTACCTGGTGTGATGACATCACAGCTGTACAGGCTCATTCATCTGTTACCTGGTGTGATGACGTCACAGCAGTCTGTTTGATGACGAGAACACAACACATTCATTTAATCCTTTATTATTCGCATTAGCTCTGTTGATGGTCAGCTAATTTTATTGTTTCTGAATAATGAATTGATTTGTTCTCTGAACAGAAACATGGAGGAAAAGAAGAGGCAGTAAGGAATGCCCTCCAGGTCTGAAACAACACTCTTTAGAGATATAATGTTTGTTTACCAAAGTCTCACTTTATTAATATGAATATTAAAGTGTTCATGTGATTGTTTCTGACAGGGTTCATGAGTTTAAATGTCGCTATTTATGGATTTATTCTGTTACTTTTACTTTAGTTGTGGAAAAGATGGCGCCAGTTTAAATTCTTATTTAAAGTGTCAATCTGTGATTATAGCCTTTTGATCAGTGATGTAATGGGGCTACACAACAAACACAAATAAAAAGACTATTGTACTTTCTTTGTCTTATTAATAAAGGCTTTGAATAGGATGAGAGCTAATTTAACTGTAACCTTAGGAACAAGATCATTAAATGGAGATATTACCAAGGACTAATATCTTTCTTCAAAGCTACTAGCTTGCTCCATCGTTCTATTTTTCTGTCGCTCCGTTGGCAAAATACTCAAGTTCAGTTTATCCATGTAGTTAATCTCAACGTTTGTAGCGTTACCGGACTGTGAAAGTGATATTTCAGGTTCACAACCGGTCTACCTGAGCTCCTGTTGGTCCGTTTATGTACATGATATGAAGTATAAATCATCTGTAAAATCGTCACAATCTCAGTAAGATATTAGTCAACCTCTGAGGTTTGAAAGTGAAGACATCAAACGTTACTTTCCAAGGATAAATAACTACAGTCGGATGCAAGCAGACAAGCTACCGTTAATAGCGCAGTGGCTCCCGGTAACGTTAGCTAGCTTGTCAGTTACTAACATCACATAACTTAACCGATAATTTTAACAAATATGATGTTTTAAGGTCCATTGTTTTTTGTTTTAACATTTGTATCGGTGATATTCGAGTGAATTGAAACCCAATACCTACATTTAAAAGTGAATCCCAAGATGCACGCAATGCGTCTTGGGATATGTTGGGCCGCGAAGGATCCATCAGTTGTGTCCTCCGAATCTGGGAAACGAAGGCTGCATTTGAAGGAGTCTTTTAAATGGGACAGCCTCAGTGTATGAATGGGTGAATGATGACATGTGGTGTTAATGAGCTTTGAGTGATATACAAGTACAGTCCATTTACCACTCTAATACTTTGGAAAGTATGCTAGCCAGGTGTGATGTAATTTTCTATGCTGGATATTATTATTATTGACACTTTACTCAGTTAAAATGATCATATAAAACAACATTAAGTTCACATTAAAAGTTCTGAACTCATCATCTTTGTTCTGTTTTGTGTGACAGACATGAGGCTGGCTCTTGTTGGGAAAACTGGAGCAGGAAAGAGCTCCAGTGGAAACACCATACTGGGAACAGACACCTTGAGTGCAGCAGTCAGTCAGTCCTCAGGTAACACACACACACAGACACACACACACACACACACAAATAGGTGGGGAACGTTTAAACTGGTGATCAGCTGCTGGATCCTGAGATGTTTTCTCTCCTCAGTCACCAGATGCTGCTTGAAGCGGACAGGTGAGGTGTTGGGCAGACAGGTGACCGTCGTCGACACTCCTGGACTCTTTGACACCTCGTTACCCGAGCGCACGGTGAAGAGAGAGATCTCAAAGTGCGTCAACATGTCGGCCCCGGGGCCCCACGCCATCCTGCTGGTTATCAAGGTGGGGACCTTCACCGACGAGGAACGAGACGCAGTCAGGCAGGTGGAGGAGATCTTTGGGCAGGATGCCTGGAACTACACCATCGTCCTCTTCACCCACGGAGATGAAGTCCAGTCAGACTTCAGGCAGCTGCTGGAGGAGGCGGGACCTGAGCTGCAGCAGATCCTGGAGAAGGTGGGAAACAGGTATCACGTCTTCAACAACATCAAAGCCAACGATCGCGGACAGGTCTTGGATCTGCTGGAGAAGGTTGAGGAGATGGTCGGTGCCAACGGAGGACAGTGTTACTCCAACCCCACCTACGAGGAGGTGGTGGCGATGCTGCGACGGAGAGAGGAAGAGCTCAGAGAGTTCTACGGGAAGAAGCTGGAGGAAGGAATCAAATCTGTGGAGTCAAAGTACGAGAAGAAGCTGAGCGAAGCTCACCAGGAGCGACAGAAGGTGGAGGAGCAGCTGCAGTGTGAGCTGCAGGAGGTGAAGCGGTACTATGGTGCTTTAGAGAGCGGAGTCCGTTATGTCGTGGAGCAGATGGTGCCGACTGACTCCATGGAAGACTTTCTCAAGTTTCATGAGGCCCTGAAACTGAAGTTCACCTCTTAAACTCTGATTCTTTACAATCAAACGATCTGCTGACAGAAACGTGCAAAGAGTTCATGTGACGAGCCGACAATCATGTAAAATGTTCAAAAATACACAAGTAAAATGAATAAAGTACTGCACATCATGATATATATATATATTTATTTATCTAACCATTGATGATGGGAAGAGTGTTACAAATGGTTACTTGTGTCGGAGCGAGGGGTATCTGGCTTCATGCCCTTTGTGGTTCAGTACCGTCTCTGGAGTTCCAGAGGGAACTCAAGAGTGGTCAGAGCTCAGCATTGTCATCATTTGTTTGGTTACTTTGGTCAACTTCCTGTTGGCACACTCTTGGAAAATCTGGATGCTTACTGTTTTCTGTGCAGTTCCTGGTCTCCTGTTTTTCGCTCTGCTACTCTTAAAGTTACTTCTCCAGATGCTGTTGTTGCTGGGTTGCAGGATGAAGATCGGAGACTGGTAAACTGACTGGGTCGGGTTCTGTTTAAGCATTTGTGAGTACGGTATAAAGCTGTAGCCTACAAGTATTGCATGGTAAAAAGTATAGACTTTATAGTTTTGTGTTGGGATTCCTGATGGGAATCCTGTTTTTATGGGGGGGGGGGTGACGACCCTCCTCCTCCCATACACTACATCACATGTTTCACTCAAGGCTGCGAATCCGCTAGCAAATCTAAAAAAAATTGAAAATTAAAATGAAATGAAATGAAAATAAAAATATCCCCATATTCGAAGTTATGAGATAGAAAGCCATAATTATGAGATAGAAAGTCGTAATTATGAGCTAGAAGTCGTAATTATGAGATAGAAATTCATAATTATGAGATTATTTATGCCTTTACTGAGGTGGATGGAGCACCACCTGCTGCTTTATACAAACATTGCACACCGTGTTGAACTCCGTAGTCCATCCTGCTCCTGTGGTTTACTTATTAACAAGGCAAATTGAATGTTATCAAAGTTAGTTGGGTTATATAACTTTATTACCCAGCTATGTCATTTTGTGTTGAATTATTTGTTATGTCTGTCACTGTACACACAATTAAATTTTTGTTTTGATACCATTGTCCATGTTCTACAGATGTCTGACACTGTAGTCCACATTGAGTGCACCGTGACCCTCCCAGCCAGTCCATGACTGATAATGCTGGGTAAGTGTCACAAAAGCAAGGCATGAAGTAGAGAACATAAGTCATTCTGTCAATTGAGAACAATTTAGAATTTATTTTTTTATTTATTTTACTTTATGTGTGTGATTCTGCTCTGTTTTATTAAAAGCTTAATATTTGAAGGCCGTCTCTTGTCGGAGTCGTTTCTATGCGAGCAATTTCTCAGGGGTTTTAATTTAGAAATTTAAAAATCAGGTTTTTAGCAGTGTTATACTGTGAATATCACATTCTATAGTTCTTTAATGCATTTTACAGTATTACATTTTTGGCTTTTTCTATACAGCACAGTACTGTAGTAATGTTTACAGTATTAAACTGTTGTTGTATATGACAGTAGGTACACTGTAGAATTACAGTTGAATGCTGGAAGCTGTAGCTGCAAGTAGTGCAATTTAACAGGGACATTTGTTACAGTGTAGGCACAATAAGCTCAGGATTCAGCCTACACCTTTTTGGTCAGAATACAACATTTGATTCTATTTGATTTGATTTAATGTATCTGATGATTTCATACTAACCACTTCTTATATGGGGAAATTGTTGTATTGTGAAAGAATTACCGGAAAACATACGTAGACTAAACTAAACAAAATATCATATTCGTGGGGGGAAATGTTAATCTGCTATACCAACTGCAGTTAATACGTCAATCCCTTTAAAGAAGGAACAATATGGCGATGATATCGTTGGCATAATTTTTTTTGCTGCATGTACTGAATCACGACCACTAGATGGCAGTATTATACCATTCAATTATGCTCTAATGCTCTATCATCATCACTCCACAATGTTTCTTCCTTGTTTTCATGTACATCTACATTAGCTATGCAACATCGTTCTCTTTCTCTACTGTTAATTAAAGTATTTGCTCTATATACAATAACTTTCCTATGGTTAAAATACTGTAATATCAAAAAATTCTTGATGAACTTTTTAGAATGAGGCAAAGTGAGCATGTTTGTTAAGATTTTTAAAAAAAAGTCTCGGCATCACATACATTAATTGTCCACCTTGTAGTCACAGAAAGGAAGATGTGGAGAAAGGGATTAGTTCAGACTTTGAGGGAGAGGGGAATTACACAATAAAACTATTTTATTTTATTTTCAATGAAGCAACAAATATATTGAACAAATATATTTTCCTCCCAAATACATTTTTAAAAAGTGTTCAGCCCATGAATATAACTAGAGATTGAAGTTGGAAGGTTATTTGGAACATCACCAATAGCCACTAAATCCTACCTTTGAGTAGTATTGTCATTTTCGCCAATCAAATCCACTGCTTAAACATAAATTGTACATGTTTTCTTCTTTGCTAATATATCAGTCACCAGAGTCACTTGGACTGTATATTTTTCTTGCATAATGTCACTGCTCACTGAAGATGTGCCAGTGTTGCTCAGGCATTTGGCACTTAAACAGCATGCCAGTTGTGTATTCTTGTCACTGTCTGATACTATCCCTGATAGGAGCCATTTAAAAACGGATATCTAATGCCACTTTTCTATGTAAAGTATAATTCCTGACAAAATCTGTGCTAGATATTCTGAATTTGAATCCTGACAGACCCTCCAAAAACATTCAATCCTACAAGTCCCTATAGCAACAGTTTAACTATTTATTGTCACCATGCCCGAACCAAAATACTCCTCATCACCTTGGTTTTTAGTATATTTAGTTGACAAATTTTCTTTAATTTTTTTTTTTACAATAGTTTTCAAGTAGTAGGTGCAGTTCCCACTACGCATGTTTAATGGGACTAGTGTGGGTACAATGCATCCACTTGTCACATGCCTAACACCCACCCCACACCTATTCCCATCAGGGAGGCAGATGGGTGTGTGAAAGAGTTGTTTGCCTCTATTCACTTGTGTGTAATGCCGACCAAGGAGAGTTGAGTGTGGCTGTTACCTTACTATTGCGAGTGCAGAGGGAGCCTGAAAAGGGCTACCTTCTTTCTCATGAACAGGCTTGTTCATGTGTCAGTTTTGGTGATGAAACCTAAATGTCATTTTCATTTTAATTATGCCATGAAATACTCATACATTATATAAAGCCATAATCTCTGCATATAGTAGTTACGTCCCCTGACCACAAAGAAGAAGATTCCACTTTCATGTTGAATCATTTATGTATTTATGTATTCCTGCATGGTAGTGTACAGTAATATGTTAGCAAAGTAGGTAATTAATTCACAGCACTTTATATCCTTTGGAGGTTGGATAGAAGTAGTATGTTGATGTAATAATTACCCCCAAAGCCTATATGAAATCCAATTTATTTTAACTGCATTCAGTTCAACGATGCCACCAGAGTGCAGAGGGAGAAGGCAAAGCGTGAATGAAATAGAATGAACGTTATTGCAACCTGTCTTCCTCTTCTTTTAACCTTTTTATTATCTAATTTATAATCTAATCTATATCTAATATATCTATTGCAGATTTAAAAAAAAGTTATGGCAGTGTGTTAGCTATGATCTGCAACATCATGAAAAACAACAAACATGCACACAGCCTCTTTTGTTCCCTCTGAGCCTCCTCTCTGTCAGTGTGTAATGGGATATAATTGTTTGTAAAATTAACAATGATGGAGGTGAGCGATTGCACACCTGTGACTCATCCTCACTAAACCCTCTTGCATTGATTGTGATGTAACTTAGCCCTCTAAGACTAGATGACCTTTTGCTCTCCTGAACGATGGCTGTCTCAGGCTTAACGAGCATGAGCAAAGTAAGCCTTGCTTCCCCAACCCATTTTTATTATGTAAACTCACAGCATGCAAACCATTATTTTTCTGTTGAGTCCTTTATTGCCCTAATTTTAATGTCATACCTTCATGAATGTGTGTGTGGGATTGCTTAACTTTTAGTTGCAAAGACCATTGTCACAAATCATTTATTACATAACACATGAAGACGCCTAGACGCAGACAAATGTGATAATTGCTGCGAGCCGCACTTTGTCACTGCCTGGTATGTTTTCAGCGTAAACCATCCAAAGCCCGTAGCTGGCAGGTTTAAGACAACTGGCATGAGTGCATGGTTGTGAGACGACTGGCTGTGAACCACTGCCACTGGTGTTCCCCTCCAAGTCTGTGTTGCAGTGGCTGATGGATGCCAAGCTCACTAGAATATAATGTGGCAATCCTACAGGGATTCTCCTATGGCCTTGTATCAGTGACTTCTAAAAAAAAAGTGGGGGTAGGAGGGCCTAGTTTTTGAGATGTAGGTTTCCTTGTTTCTTAGCTGGAACGGCATATGGTGGTGATGACTGGCAAGGCCATGGTCTCCTCCTATGGGGAGGTTTTACATCAAGCTTATCCCAGTCACAGGCCCAGGGGTAGACCAGGTCTACTTAAGCTTTCTTTGCCATCGGCCATGTTTAGGCCACATGCAAGTCAGATGTTCCAGCAGGCCCAATATGCCTGCCGATGTTGGGGCTGCTTCGGAAACTGGGAGAGGGTTGTTGTGACTTCATTTCTTACTTTATCCGGCACTCGGACATGTGTCCATAGAATGCTGTGGATTTATTTTTTTTATTACAACTATCTGTCCATTATCTGTAAACGCTTATTCTATTCAGGGTTGCGCGGGGGGGGGGGGGGGGGGGGGGGGG